AGAGCAAAATGTTTCTTAATTTTCCAGGAGCAACCAGCCTGTACCCATAATCACTGTCCCAGAGCATGGTCCCAGCCCAAACTCAGTGCAAAGTGCTCACAAAGGTGTTTAAGATGAGGAGCAGCAGTCAGTCCGTCAGGTAGTCAACCAACAGCAGCTGCTGGCCAGTCCAAGAAGAGCCAGCAGTGACAGCAACCCTGACATACACCTGAGGGGACCCGGCGGTCACAGAGCACCTGCACATCCACTACTGCATTAGGTCCCTTTGTAGATGAGGATGTGGAACTTCAAGAGGCTAAGTCACCTGCCCAAAATGACACAGGAAGTATGGAGGCAGACGTCCCCAGGAATATTCTAGAGGATAAAGACAGAGGTGCGGCATTGCCTAGCTGGTGTAAGGACTGACACGTGGCTCAGGCAGCCTTGGCATTGACTGGGACAGGCATGAAGGCAGTTAAAGAGTTTGGTGCCTTCTGGTGGCAGAAGATCCAGGTAAGGCCCAGCAGGTACCCTGCAGAGAGGCTGCACATGAAGGGGGCTTTGGGGAAAATCAGTCAAAATGTTTGACCCCCACTTTTTAGCACCTCAGGGGACTGGCTTGAGCTCTCCAGTCATGGGCCTCCATTTGCCCATCTGTGATCAGACAACCCCTCAGTGACTGTGAAAAGCAGGGCAAGAATGCCACTGTCTGGGCCTCAGTCTCCCCTGCTGCGAGGTCTTCTCTCACACAAGGGAGGCCACAGCACAAGGGCACTTGCACGGCCTTGTTCTGGACTGGGCTTTCCAACAAGCGTGGCGACAGTTCTTTGATGGGGAGATCAGGAGACAGGAAGGAAGAGCCAGACAGACCTTGGGTTCCAGTGCTGTCCCTGGACCTGTAGAAAGGGACAGGAGCAAGTGCCACACCCCAAGTTCCCACCTGGGGGAAATGTGCTAAGTAAAGGAGCCAGCCTCCACACAGTGCCAAGCACACCGCCAGCCACTCGGAACACCCTCCATAACTTTGGGTCTTCCTCTCCCTCTTGCTTTGCCCAAGTCCCAGACAGGCATTGTTCACAGCAGATGGCTCCAGGCTGGACAGCAGCCCGGATGGTTGAGGCCAGAGAGGAGAAGGAACTCTTCTGGGCTTACCAAGCATGATGCAGACCCAGCCAGGCACAGCACTTAGGGCTTGGAGACACTCCATGATGCCGCAGGTGTTGCAGCACCTTAGCACTTGGTGTTGAGACCTGCAAATTGACAGCCAGGTTCTCACTCCATCCTGGACCAGTATTCAAGAAACCCAGCCCAGCAGAGCAGAGCCACGTCCACATCACACCTCCACTTCTCCCGACCATTGCTTTGAGGAGCAACCCCGTGTTATTTGTGATTTCTGACATTCGCCCCCTTGCAAGCCCCTCCCCCCTTTCCTGTTTGGCCTGCGAATTGGAAAGGGCTATAAACAGGCAGGCGGGCTCCTCGCCCCAGGGCGAGCCTGTCAGCCTGCCAGGGGAAAGGTAGGACCCAGGGGACCCCGCCCCCACCCGCCCCACGCAGCCCAGCTGAAGAACTTGTAAAGACAGGATTTGTTTGTTTTTTTGGATCTGGCTCAGGATCTGGCTGAGGCCAGGCCCTTTGGGGAAAAGCAACTTTTAAATAAATGCTTCAAGATTGTGCAAACATTTCAGTAGTATTGGAGGCCTGGCGTTCTGGGTCAGGGAGGGAAAAAAATACCTGTCAATCATTCTAGAGATGAAAACCTGATAGCAGAGTGGTTGGTGAGGACTAGGGCTTGGGTTGCAAATCTCAGTTGTGGCTGGCTGAGACCAACTACACTTCAGCCCTCTCTCAAAAAATCATTTGCATGTTAATCAATAGAGCAGCCCTGTTTGACAGGCACAGAGAGCACAAGGCGCTGGCAACCAGAGCCATGCATGTGTGCAGAAAGGACGCAACTCAGGCAGACAGAACTACATTTTAGCCTTGGCTTTGCCACCCATTAGCTCTGCAGTCTTGGGTGAGTTATTTAGCATCATTTAGGTCAATTTTCTCTTTGGTAAAATGAGGTTGCAATATCCATCTTATAAGGATGTTTTGAGACATAAATAAAAAACAGATTACAACATAAAACCCAGCCCATTTCAAAAGCATAGCAATAAACAATGGCAATGTTATTAGCTGTCACTTATTGGGCAGTTTCTCTGAGAAGGGACTTGCTATGTTTTCACTGATCCTCAAAATCAGCCCTATTCAGCCTGGCAGTCACAATGATGTCCTCTGCACCTTTTCTGTGCTGACCTCAGGGCTAGTGATCTGCAGAAGGAAGCCCCATGCTGGGCCAGAGAAGTGTACACGGTGTGAAGCCAGGGGAGAGAGAGTTCTGTGCCTCTGTGAGAGGGGAGGTCTGGACTGAGTCCTGAAGAATGAGGGAGAGGTGCACAGGGGAGGAGCACTCCAGATAGAGGGAGGGCTTTAAGCAAAGGCTCCAGAGCAAGCTCCCAGAGCAGTGGGGATGCAGGGAAGGGGTCATCTGGGTGAGGAAGGTGGCAGAGTTAGACTGGAGTCAGGGAGCACAGTCCTGCACTGCAAAGGTCCAACTGGGTTCTCTGGGCCAGTGCAGGGTCTCCTCCTTTCCACTCCCCCTGCAGTCCTCCTTCAGCAGCTGCATGACTACTGGTGATAGCCCAACTTTGCTGTTTGTAGATCTCTGCCTATCCTGCCTCAAAGGGTTCCTGGAGATCAGAGAATTTTGAGGTTAAAGTGCTCCACCAATTCTGGGTGCCATTATTCTACAAATATACACAAACATATGCATATACGCATGAACATGTGCATATAACACACACACAGGCTCAGGAATCAGGATGACCTGGTTTCCCATCCCAGACTCACCATTTACTGCTCTGTTCTCCAGGGATTCATGTCTATAATGCATAGAAAGTGCCAGCATGTTGCCTGGCATGTGCAGGCACACATGTATTCTCATTCAAACACTGGCAAACTCAAACTACCCGTGTCTCCTTCAAAAAGAAACCACCACCGACCCAGATCAATTTATGAGACTTTGCAGCCCAGACATCAGCCCCCAAACCCTTTCTTGTACATGTGGGGAAACTGAGGTTCAGGGAAGGAAGAGAGTATATTCAGCTCAGAAGCAAAGGAGAGCATGGAAAGGAGCCTTCCAAGAATGTGCAGGCATCAAACTGAGCCTTGAAGAGTGAGCAGGCCTCCAAAGGCAGGTCAGAAGGGCATTTCAAGGTGAGGGAACAGCATGAGCAAGCACCCAGAGATGTCACTGGTGAACCTGGGAAACAAGAGTCATCCAGTTCGGAGGTCAGTGGTGAGGGGTGCTAGAGAAGAAGCTGGGGAAATCCTTGAATCCAGGCAGGAAGAGCCCTTGGGGTAAGCTTGGAAGACTGGATATTCTTGGGAGCCACGGGGAGCCCAAGACGGAAGGCAGTGGCATGGAGTCAGTATTTGAGAAAGATTCCTACACTGTTAGATGCAAAACCAGAAAGGCTTGGCCCGGGCTAGGAGGGAGGAAGGCAAGCGGATGAAATAGACAGATGGAAGACCTCTCAAAGAAGGCTTATTTTCCAAAGGAGGAAAGAGAGATGGAGACAAGTGGGCATAGAGGGGCAGATACTTGATGGTGACCCACAAAGAGCCATCTTCAACTCAAAGGACTGCAGATATGGGGTTTAGAACAGAGGAGATTCTAAGAACAGAAGGCTTTCTGACACCCAGCCTCGGACTCTTCTACAAAGCCCTGCACCACATCCCACCCTCTCCCCCATTCCAGTAAGGAAGGCAAAGGGCTCAGGGCCCAATGAGGAGGCCCACAGGACAGGGTGGAGAAACCCCAGCTCCTGCCAAGGGGGCAGGGGCAGGGGGCAGACAAATCAGCCAACAGTGAACCAGCATTTCCTCCAACTTTATCTCCTTCCCTCTTTCCTTCTGGCTTCATCTGGCTCTAGGCCCAGAGCCGCCCTTAGCCTCTTACTGTGTGCCATGGAGTTAGCGCTTTGGTCTCTCTGACCCTCTGCCTCCTCCTCTGTAAAGGGTAGGTAGCAATACTAATAAACTGTGATCATCCAGCCACGTGTGATGCTGTCCTTTTTCAGCGCACAAACCCCTTTCTCTTGCCTCTGCGCCACCCCGCTGTGAGAGGTGTTGCCACCACTCCACGGGCCACCGGGCAGGCAAACAGCTTTCTCATGGGGACAGTTAGAGGCTGTCGCAGGCTTCGAACCCAGGCCCCTAAGACTCGCCAGGCAGCCTGGACCCCCACCTCTCCTCCTCCTCCCTCCTCCCTCCTCCTCCTCCGCCGCGCCCTCCCCCCTCCTCTCCGCGCGTCCCCCTCCTCCCCCTCCTCCTCCTCCTCCTCCTCCGGCGCCGCCCCCTCCTCCTCCTCGTCCTCGGAGCCCAAATACGCGACACCTGGAGCAATCGCAGCCGCCCGGCGGCCTGGGCCTCATTACGGCCGGCCCTTATCGCGGCGTGCATCACATTATTTCATTTCAAAGAATCCACAGAGAAGCCTGTCCCGGCCGACAACAGAAAGTAAAAACACAGCTGACTCCCATTAGGGCCCTCTCACAGGCTCCGCGTGAGGTAATGAAATATGGAAGCGGTGAGATATGTAATGCTTTATTAAGCGGTCTCAGCTACAACGGCGTGCATGCCAATTACGCCTGCAGGCTACCGCCCGCCCCCGGCCGCGGACCACCCAGCGCGCGCCCGGCCCGCGCCCCGGACGGGAGGGGGGAGGGGGGAGGGGGGAGGGGGGAGGGCCGCGGGGGAGGGGGAGGGGGAGGGGAGGAGGGAGAAGGGCGAGGGCGGAGGGGAATAGGAAGGAAGGACACCGGGAGGAAGGGGAGGGACAGCAGAGGTGCCCGGTGCCATCCCTGGGTCATGGCAAGTAGCAAAGGCATCGTGGGGCCTGGGAATCTGGGAGGGAAGGTGGGGGTGTGGGGGGGACTCCCAGGGATTCCTAGAAGACAGGAAGTCCAGGGGCAGAAATAAGGCTCAGAGAGGGAAACACACTTACCGAGGTCCCCCAGATGAACCCTGAGCCAGGAGGGAGGGAAGTCAGGCCTCCTGTTTCCTAAGCCGCTTTCCTTTTCTACCCAAACTGCCACTTCTGTTTCCTTTAATGATGCCTAAACAACAAAGTTCCCGCATCTGTGTGTGAATGACAGACTTAGGCTCTCTAACATCTGACTTTCTGACCCCTGAAATCCTCGGTGCTCCTCCCCTGCCCTTCCTGAACCCACCACTCCTGTTGATCCTAGGTTTGCCCAGGAAGGCTTCATTCATTCAGTGGACATGAGCTGAGCTCCTACCTGGCCAGGTACTGAAAACACAAGAACAAAGTACTCATCCCCCCCCCCCCCACACACACACACACCCTGCAGCCAGGCAGGGGGAAATGTCACTTATCAATGACCAGAGGGAGCTTAAGGCCATATGGGAGTGCCTGTAACAGAGAGTGGGACAGACCTACCCAGAATGTGAGCAGAGTCTTGTGGGGTGCATAGGACTCACCTTAGAGGAAGAAGTCCTGAGAAGCCAGTCTGGGAAGACTTTGGAGCATCAGATATTTGCGACTCCTCCAAGGAACTGCTGGTTCCTGATAGGGCACACTGAGAGGAGGAGCACAGCGACAGGGAGCAGCAGAGGTTCTACGGAAAACTATTCAAATTGGTGGAAGTCAAGGTACTGATTCATCTCTTAGGTTTCTTTTAGCCTTGCTCCCAGTAGGCCATTCATACAGTCTTAAAATAGAAAGGACCTCTGTTTTCATCATACCCAGGTCATCACCCCTATTTCATAATTTCATAAATGAACTCTGAGAAGTCATTTGTGCCACATGGAAAATATATATGACTTTCATCCATTGTGACCTTAGTGTGTGGCAGGTACTACATTAAGCACTTTCTATATATTTATTATCTCACTTGATTCTCAAAACAACCTTTTGAGAAAGCTTCCTAAAATGTTCTAACATCTTTCATTCTTCCTCTCTTTGACTTGCTGTTCCATCAGCACTACAAGCCTTCCTCTTTCTTACCCGATGTATTATTTAGGCTTCCAACTAAATAACAGGCTTCAGACAAGGGTCCACAACACAGTGGTTCAAGTAGGCTAGAAGTTCCAGCCACCATCAGACCGTGGTTTGGAGGAAACAAACATGATCCACAGGCAGGGGGATGGCTGTGCTCAACAAGGTCGTCTATTGACCCAGGTTCTTTCTATTTTGTTACTCCTCCATCCCCTCCTAGCTAAAACTCTTTCCCTACCACTAGCATGTCCATACTCCAGCCTTGGGAAATTGCCTGGCAATTTTATTTCCACACACAGTTATTGTAGAAATAGCCCCACAGCTTCGCCTAGCTGCAAGGGACAGTGATAATTATAATCAGTAGCTGGATGACCATATGTCCTGCTAAATTTGGAACATTTTTATTAAAAAGAGAAGAAATGGGAAAACAAGCAACATATTCTATCCCCCCCCACACACACACACATCCATACATTTATCCTTTATGATTCCATTTGAATGTTGCCTCCTCCATGCAGCCTTCCTGGATACTTCCCCAAGAGGTCAATTAATTGCCCCTCTGTTCTGTGCTTTTACTGCCGCTTGTACTTTGCTGCTTTACACTTCTCAGTTCATGGGTCTCTCTCCCCAGCTGGCCCTTTGAGCTGCTGTTTCCTCATCTGCAAATAATAAATCCTGTAGATAGTAAGCACCTGATATGTCTCAGGCACTGGGCAAAGGAAGTTTTATGGGTGAACTCATACCCTTATGGATTTGCTTCTCTGTACTCTTGGGGGTTTCCCAAACCCTGGGGATTTTCTCCTCTGTAAAATGGACATAATAATGATACAATCTTCATAAAGTTGCTGTGAGGATTAAAAGAACTGGTATTGAGAGGGGCACTGAGTACATGCTCAATAAATAGTCACTACCACTACTTTATGAACATAGATCAGAAATGTAGCAAGTATAGAGTGAGACCAGTTATAAACTATGCTCCATACTGCTGACACTTGAGCTGTGAACATTAATCCCATTCCAAGATGTGTAGGCATGAGGTCAGAAGGCTCGTGGTGAGATGAAAACAGTTCTTCTACCAATACAAAATACCACTGTCTTGGAAGCATTTTTGTTATCCCCCTTCCCTTGGGTAACAAAGCTTACCCAAGCTAGCGAGAACCATACTTACACTACCCTGAGAACTATACTACATTGCCTCCAGAAATGCTGCTTAATATATATTCTTATTTTATTGGGTGTTGAGGGGGTAGTAACTGGTGAGATACATGTATAATTTTCTGACACTTGACATATAAAGACCATGGTTCAAGCACTTAGGCTGTTCAAGATATTACTGCTACCTGGTGGCAACCAGGAGTATTGCAGGCATAGAATCATTTTCAAATGAGGAAAAAGTATCCCAGGTATCAACTTTGAATTATTTTAACATATTAGATATAATCAGGACCTTTATAAAACATTTATTTCTCTCTCTCATCAAATTACGGCAAGCTATTTTCATTGTTATTAGTCATGATCTATTCTTTACACTTTAGATTTTCTGAATTTAAAACATGGATCACAGGATGGGGCTGGGGATGTGGCTCAAGTGGTGGCACACTCACCTGGCATGCGCAGGTCGCTGGGTTCAATCCTCAGCATCACATAAAAATAAAGATGTTGTGACGACCAAAAACTAAAAAATAAATATTAAAAAATTAATATTCTCTCTCTCTCTCTCTCTTTAAAAAAAAAAAAAACATGGATCACAGGAATGTCAGCCTCCAACAGGAGGAGTAAGTGCCCAGACATTTGCTGTGTAGCACTGTTACTTCAGTCATGTGATCTACAGTGATAGGAACAAGAAAGATGACTACTATATTTGGATCCCTAATTATTGCTTTAAATATCCTCAAAAAAATATTTCATCTGATGTAAAAATAAAGTTACTATTTATTCAGGAGATGGCCTGTCACCCTCCTGTCAGTGCAATTGTTTGTAGTACAAAAACAGTCAATCTCTCCAAATAGACCAGAGAATACTCTGAAGTGGGTTTGACAATGAATGGATCCATCAAGTCCTGTAACCTAGGAGCCAAACAAAGCCTTCAGCAGCTGGTACAGTGGCACACACCTATAATACAGGTACCTGGGAGACTGAGGCAGAAGGATCACAAGTTCAAGGCCTTCACAATTTAGCAAGACCCTTTCTCAAATAAGAGTTGGGGATGTAGCTCAGTGATAAAGAATCCCTGGGTTCAGTCTCCACAACTGGAAGGAAGGAAGGAAGGAAGGGAGGGAAGGAAGGGGTGATGGAGGGAGGAAGAAGGAAGGAAGGAAAGGGAGGGAAGGCAGAAAAAAAAAGCTAACTTTCGAAAAAGTTATTTAACTTCCTGAAATATGTAATACAGTTAATACACAGAAATGCATGCAAATCACTAATATCCTTCTGCATATCTTGAGATTATACTGTTTTTAGTTTTTTGTTTTTTGCATTGCTGGGGATTGAACTCAGGACTTCACACATGCTAGGCAATTGCTCTAACACTGAGCTATACCCTGTTTCTATAAAGTTGATTTTAAAGAAACAAAATTAATGATCTTGACCAAATTATTTGTTATATTCTTTGCCTGTATGCATACATAACAATGAATCCTGCTATTAGGTACAATTTGGCAGGGGAAGGAGGTACTGGGGACTGAACTCAGGGGCACTTAACCACTGAGCCACGTCCCCAGCCCTGTTATGTATTTTATTTAAAGACAGGGTCTTGCCAAGTTGCTTAGGGCCTTGCTAAGTTGCTGAGGCTGACTTGAGATCCTCTTGTCTTAGCCTCCCAAGCTGCTGGGCTTGCAGACATACACCATTGCACCTGGCCATTAGGTACAATTATAATGCACCAATTAAAACTATGTAAAAATAAAAGAAAAAGTTCACATACCTGATACACAAAAACACTGCCACTCCCATGATATTCCAGATTTATAGACGGCCTAAAGAGATTCAACAAGTATAGATGCTCTGATGTACACTTGAACATTGATGACCCTGAAAAAAATGAAATGAGCAATTATAGAAACAACTATATGTTATCAGTTATTATTTTTTTTGTAAGTATGTGCCTTTGGCCAGGCATGGTGGTGCACACCTGAAATCCTAGTGATTCTAGAGGCAGAGGCAGGAGGATCAAAAAGTTCAAAGCCAGCCTTGGCAACTTAGCAAGACACTAAGCAATTTAGTGAAACCCTGTCTAAAAATAAAAAATAAAAAGAACTGGGGTTGAAGCTCAGTGGTAAAGCACCTCTGGGTTTAATTCATTTCTCAACTATGAAGTGGGTCACCTTTCAGGGGCTGCCATTAGGTACTGATTGAGGCCATGACTATGACAACACCTGCCATATAACAGTTGCTCAATAAGCATTTGTTATTCAGATGCAGAGTCTAGCAAAAGGGAGGATGTTCAAGAATGAAGAAATAGAGAAGGAAGAGTATTGAGGGTGATGGGAGCTGATACATGAACCCTGTTTCTGTCATTGGAAAAGTGGCCACAAATTCTTCCTCCTCCATCAAGAAATGGATCTATTTGTTCACCCCTCAAATCTGGGCTGGCCATGTAATTGGCTTTGACCAATGGGTCACTAGCAAAGATAACACAAGCAAGGGATTAAAAAGTACTTAAGCATTTCTATGCTGCCTTTGGAAGCCTGTGACTGCAAGTATGTGAAGAATCCCAGGTTTTTGCTGGATGATCAGAGAAGGTCCCTTGTCACCCCAGCAATCAGCCAGCCAACTGCCAGAAGTGTGAATAAGGTCATCACTGTCATCTGATCATAAATGCATGAGCATTTTAGTTATTCACCCCCAAAACAAATTACCCCCAGAAAAATTACCTCCAAACCTGCTCAAGATGTTTCTTCCTCCACACGGTTTCTGAAGGTTGGGAAACTAGCCACAGTTTAGCTACATGATTCTGGATTAAAATATCTCCAGGTCTCAGGAAAATTGATCATCTCAAGGTTAAACAGGGGCAGGTACATCTGCTCTCAAACTCAGTTGCCTCCTTGTTGTCTGGCCTGAGTGCTCCTCTGGCCACTGGGCAGGGGCTCTGGCTCTTTCCCATGTGGGTCTCTCCATAGGACTGCTCACATTGTGACAGCTGACTTCCTCCAGAATAAATGATTTGAGAGAACAGGAGCACATGAAGGAGCCCAACGCAGCAGGAGCAGTCTTTTATAGCCCCATCTCAGAATCAACATGCCATCCATCACTAGTATTTATTGCTAGTGGTCACAGGGACCAACCATGACACAGTGTGGGAGAGGACCACACAAGGATGTGAATATGAATAGACAAGGATCAGAAAGGTTCATCTTGGAGGCTGGCTGCCACAATGCAAAAGCCTGGCTGAGACTAGCAGAAGAACCAACTGGCTGAGCCCCGTCCTGTTTGCCCACCCACAGATTTGTAAATGGCGGTAGTGCCACTGATTTGGGGGTGGTTAGTTGAAGAGCAATAGATGGCTGATGCAAATAGCATAGGCCTCAGCACCATCTTCTCATTTACCACTTATTAGTCTAACATAGATACTCTGGTCACCAGCAGCATGGACTATGGCTTGAGCTCCATGGCTCTGCAAAGTCTGCAGAGGACTCTGGCTTCCCCAGCCCAAGGAAGCCGAGGATGGTCCAGGTTCCTTCTTCTTCTTGCTATTGCTCTTCTAAAGACTCCCTCCTCCACACCATCCAGCTCTCCTTCTCTGGAAAGATTTCTTCCTCTGAGTCTGGATAAGTAGAGTCTTTAAAAGGGAAGTACATTGAGACTAAAGGAGTCTAGGCTGGCAAAAGCAGGAAAAAAAACAATCAACACTCACCACATCCTACCTTTACTATGGAGTCCCAAATCACAGCCATGGCTCAACACCTGTGCAAACCTGCACCAGAGATCTGAACATCAGAACCTGAGGGTCCTCAGCAGTAAGTCTCTCCAGCTCCTTGTTAAACAGATGGGGAACCATGCCCACAGTCACACCACAAACCTGCAGCAGCAAGAAGACTGAACCCAGCACTCCTGCTCACCACCTGAGCTTGTTTCTTTGTAATATATAAAGAGCATTTTGCAAGTCAGTGACATTTCTGTTCAGAACAGAATGTGTCTTAAAATATTGCCCATCTGGATCTCAGAGAATAGTCCAGGGCAACAAGAAAGAACAGGGAGGGGAGAGGTGAGCTCATTGCCTGAGTACTTCTCACTGGTGTGCCACTCTGACACATTTTCCACACCCATTGTACCCCAGGACTACTACCTTCTCATATAACTAGGTATCACTGAGGTACCCACCCAAACCTATACAGTAGTCCCCATTATCTGCAGTTTCACTTTCCACAGTTTCAGTTATATGACGACAACCTGGGTCTGAAAGTATCAAATAGAAAAAAAAAATCCCACAAGTTAAAAATCCATAAGTTTTGGGGCTGGGGATGTGGCTCAAGCGGTAGCACGCTCACCTCGCCTGGCATGCATGCGGCCCGGGTTCAATCCTCAGCACCACATACAAAGATGTTGTCCGCCGAAAACTAAAAAAAAAAATAAATTAAAAAAAAAAATCCATAAGTTTTAAATTGGGTTTCATTCTGAGTAGCATGAAAAAATTTCACTTTGTCAAAATTGAAGAAGACCTCAGAAAATGGAAAGATCTCCCATGCTCCTGGATAGGCCCAATTAATATTATCAAAATGGTCATACTACCAAAAGCATTTAATGCAATTCCTATTAGAATCCCAATGACATTCTTCATAGAAATAGAAAAAGCAATCATGAAATTCATTTGGAAAAATGAGAATAACCAAATAACCAAAGCAATTCTTAGCAAGAAAAGTGAAACAGGAAGCATCACAATACCGGAACTTAAACTATTCTACAGAGCTATAGTAACAAAAATAGCATGGTATTGGCACCAAAACAGACACATAGACCAATGGTATAGAATAGAGGACACAGAGACAAACCCACACAAATATAGTTATCTTATACTAGACAAAGGTACCAAAAACATTCATTGGAGAAAAGATAGACTATTTAACAAATGGTGCTGGGGAAAAATGGAAAGCCACATGTAGCAAAATGAAATTAAACCTCTATATCTCACCCTGCATGAAACTCAACTCAAAGTGGATCAAAGACTTAGGCCCTAGAAAAGAGACCCTGCACCTACTAGAAGAAAAAGTAGGCCCAAATCTTCACCATGTCAGCCTAGGATCTGACTTCCTTAACAAGACCCCTAAAGCTCAAGAAGTAAAATCAAGAATCAATAAATGGGATGGGTTCAACTAAAAACTTCTTCTCAACAAAAGAAACAATCACTAATGTAAAGAGAGAGCCTACAGATTAGGAGAAAATCTTTACCACATGCACTGCAGATAAAGCATTAATCTCTATGATATATAAAAATCATAATCAAAAAGCTTACCACCAAAAAAATAAAATAACCCAATCAATACATGGGCTAAAGAACTGAACAGACACCTCACAGAAGAAGAAATTCAATTGATCAACAAATATATGATAGTAGTTTTGATTTGCATTTCTCTAGCAATTAGAGAAATGCAAATCAAAACTACACTGAGATTCCATCTCATTCCAGTTAGAACGGCAATCATCAAGAATACAGGCAACAATAAATGTGGGTGAAGATGTGGGGGGAAAGGTACACTCATACATTGCTGGTGGGACTGCAAATTTGCGCAACCCCTATAGAAAGCAGTATGGAGATTCCTCAGAAAACTTGGGATGGAACCACCATTTGACCCTGTTATCCAACTCCTCGGTTTATACCCAAAGGACTTAATATCAGCATTCTACAGTGACACAGCCACATCAATGTTTATAGCAGCTCAATTCACAATAGCTAAACTATGGAACCAACTTAGATGCCATTCAATAGATGAATGGATAAAGAAAATGTGATATATATATATTTGAAGAAATATTACTCAGCTTTAAAGAAGAATGAAATTCTTGCCGGTGTATGGATGGAGTTGAAGAATATCTGCTAAATGAAATAAGCCAATCCCAAAAAACCGAAGGCCAAATGTTTTCACTGATATGCAAACGTGAATTCATAATAAGGAGGTGAGGAGCATTAGAGAAGAATAGACTTACTTTAGATAGAGGGGAGTAAAGGGAGGGGAAGGGGTATGGGAATACAAAGGATAGTAGAATGAAACAGACATTATTACCTTATGTACATATATGACTGCATGACTGATGTGATTCTACAACATGTACAACCAGAAAAATGAGAAATTATACTCTATGTATGATATATCAAAGTGCATAAATGCATTCTGCATTCTACTGACATGTATAACTAATTAAAACAAATAACAAAATTTATATAAAAAAAAAAAGAAAGAAATTTCACTTTGTCCAGCTCTGTCCCAATCTGGATGTGAATCATCCCTTTTTCCAGAGTGTCCCCATTGTATGCCCCATCCACCCGTTAGTCACTTAATAGCCATCTTGGTTATCAGATCAACCACCACAATATCCCAGAGCCTGTGTTCAAGTTACCCTTATTTTACTTATTAATGGCCCCAAAGTACAAGAGTAGTGATGCTGGCAATTCAGATATGCCAAAGAGAAGCCATAAAGTGCTTCCTTTAAATAAAAAGATAAGTGTTCTTGACTTGATGAGGAAAGAGAAAAATCTCATGATGATGTTGCTAAGATCTAGGTAAGAATGGATCTTCTATCCATGAAATTGTGAAGACGAAAAAAGAAATTTGTACATTTTACTGTCCCATCTCAACAGAAAAAGTGACAACCACAATACATGTTTAACTAAGATAGAAAAGGCATTCAATTTGGGTTTGTGTGTATATAAAGAAATACAGTAAATATTCAGGGTTTGGTGGTACACACCTATAATCCCAGCTACTCAGGAGACTGAGGCAGGAGGATCACAAGTTCTAGGCCAGCCTCAGCAATTTAGCGAGACCCTGTCTCAAAAATTTAAGTAAATAAATAAAAAGAGCCAGGGATGTAGCTCA